AGATCTGCGAGACGCCAAAGATTAACGAACTTATTCTTGACCTGGTCAAACTTTTCATATTTGGATAATTCACCTTGAGGTTTGAGACTCCAAGAAGATCTTCCAACAATATCTACCATTGTATATTACCTAAGGTCTGCTTAAAAAAGACAATGGATAATTTTACCTTCTGATGGTATACTCGTGAACGACTTTATGAGGTGGTGTCTTTGACGAAGACAGATTTGAGTATAGCAAGTACTTCTCGGCCACATATTGGCGGATCAGTTATTTTCTATGTTGGTAATGTTGAATACCAATAGCAAGTTTCAAAATTTCAAATAAATAATTCCACGTGAACCGATCAGTGAGTAACAGGACGAGTACTTCTATCGAGATTAATGATACGATTTAGTTGTTTTAGTAATTTATCACGAATAAAAATACCTCTGATGTTTATGATATTTAATCGCTATGCAGCAACAATTAAATAAACATTGGGCATAGGAAGTATCAACGAACTGTTCCGTGCAGCCTTAGAACTTTCCCTGTTGATTGTTTTGGGAAGCTTTTAGTCCTTGTCCTGTTGCTTTCTATAGAAACATCCCAGTGGCAATTCCAACAGCACCAACTGCAGCTGTTCAAGCAACAGATGGGTCTGCAGCTGATATCATAGCTGGTATAGCTGCGAAAAGTTGTTATATACCATCCGTCTTGGCAGTGTAGTTAACCTCACCCGAAGAGTTGTACGTCTTTCTTTGATCATTTGGCGTCATTGAAGTCACTTAGTTGACGTTCTGTCAATGATAGTTCGTTTGAACAGCCTGTGATATTTTTTGATTTCAGTAATATGTTTATTCCCGAATTTTTTTTATACTGATCGTATCGTTTTCATCTGACCAGGAGTCAGACTGATACTAACATGAAGATATGACATTATAATATCCTGATCGATTTAGTTTCATGTTTTCGACTGAGTCATAAAGGACTCTCATTCGTCCACAAATACCTTCATGCTAAGTTATTTTGCATGAGAGTATAACAGCAATCGCTCTGTAATTAGCAATGTCTGCCTATCTCGAGCCATGAAATGTATATAAACTACTGATTGTCTGAACAATTCCACAGTGTTCTAGTGAGAAAAATAGATTGGATATAGTAATGTGAAATCCCGCTGATATATTTGCAAACAAGAACCAGCATTTTGATCATACCCAATAAATGCACGTTGCAACACGATTGTTATCGAAATTCAGTAATATATCCGAATCTGGTTCTTGATGTAAATTTATTCTCAGTGAAATGGTTTTTGATGTCGTTTATTTCTCAGTGAACTTCAGTAGTACCAAGTTTGTCAAATATCATTACACCACATAATTGTGAAATTACACGTGCATGATCTTGCTTTGATGCTATCTGTTATGTGAATAAACCATCAGTGTTACTTTAAACACTATTTGTGGCCATCGTCAACCATGTTGATTTGCCGTCTCTGTCCATAAAAGAACGTATCCGTCGGTCTTCGGTTAGTGATGAAGTCATAATTGGCATCCACACAGAAAGTTTTGTCAGTATTACTTTTTCATTAAGTGGCACGGTTGCAGATGTATCAACTCCATCAGCGTGCGATATTGTACCATCATCATTTACCTTTCTCATAAGGACGATTATACGATTTGCACCGAATATAATTTTCCTGATATTTCTGCAAAATCCAATTATACCTGATAGTGAAATTCTTCATCTTCGTTCAACACAGATCGAATCACAAGATGAAATTTGCATTCATCGATAGTACTGTACAGTTAATTTCATCCTCTGCAGTGGTTCTTGCACCACCTCCCCTTATGTTTCTGCTTTCCGGTTGATCAGTTATATAGTTTGCAAACTTTATTGACGGAGCAGCTAACCTCGAGTAGTCATTGCTGTATCTTGCGAGGCTGAGTTTCGCCGTGGCAACGTCGATATTTTCCAGGCATGAATCAATTTTTCTTCCGTCAATGATTTAAGTGGCATCGGTAAATAGCACCATGACGCCATTACTAACAAAACGTACTTGATCACGAATTCCGAGAGCTGTATCATCTGCTTTTAAAAGTCTGTCTAAGGTCCCAATGATTGGCTCAGTACGGAGAAAATATCTACTTGTATCCTGATTTTTAATTCGATTCTTCCTCGAGCGTCATGAGAATAATATTGATAATCACAAACAGATTCTTCTTTGAGAACTGGTGAGTCCATGTCAAATGCTGGATCAGATACCCGTTTAAACATCTTTATTGCACTTTGTATCGTCTAACACGAAGAACACTTCCTGCTATCGGACTAGCAGTTATATGTTTTCATTTTCTGACATGGTTACATCAGCCAACTCTGCTAGTTTATGATTCGCAGCTTGATTATTTTACTAACATTAAGAAGGCATAATTTCCGTACCTGGTGATTTTAATGGCAGAGGTAGGATCGTCTGTGGTCTGCGTATTAATCATGAAAGTCTATCCTTGATTGCAGCGAATGCTTTACCGCCAACATCACCAATAGCACCAATACCTTTATCGCGAATAACATCTTTTACGTTTCAAATGCTCGTACTCAGTAACAAAGGAAAGATTAATAGTCAACAAGCTTTGTAAATATTAATAAAACAAATTATTTCACTAGACAAAAATGTTAGAAATGGTAAAAGGGACTTACAGTTTGTGAGTATAATCCAAATATGATATTAAGAATAATAACACAGTTCATATCACTAAATAATCCTATAAGAATCCAGGTTCGCGTCCTGACGACGTACAAATATGGAGGGCGATGACTTCAGCTGTAGTCCAATGTATGAATATCAACAATTCCTCACTTGAATCACAATCTTTGTTTCTGACTAATTCTGGAATAAACTTCCATGAATTTGTTTCAAAATGTTTCTTAAGAAAGTCAACTTGCTGAGTGTCAAGGAGAAAAAATTATTGAATCCAAAAATCAGACGAAGCATGAAATATTCTAGCAACAAATTAAAACTAATACTCCTTGTTCCTTTAAGGTTTTAAATGACACTGTCTGAAAAATATATAGAATGCGTATTTAGAACCCCAGACTTAATTACAAGTCTCGCGAGACTAGTCATGTTGTCTCCTACTACGCTAATTTTCACACGAAGGCCAATGTTACTCCACATAAAGAACAATCATAAAAAAGTTATTTACAATCAGTGATCACGCGAAGAATGTATGTCCATGATACTGACGAATAATTTTAACTTCCTGTAGATATTGTTACCAGGGTAAGACGAAATAAATGCTAATTCTCACGCATTAAAGCTTCGTCTTGAATAAACAAACTTTGTGCTATCACACTACTGATAATAGAATCCCAAAACCAAGAAAAAAATTGTTTATGAAGGCAATACTTTTTTCGGTAAGTTTATCAATTAGATTAGTTCTCTCTCTCTCTCTCTCTTGTTCTTATTCTGGTTCTGGTGTACGATCTTCTTTTATATCACCTATTTCAGCACGAACATGGCCAATACCATTAAGTAATTTTTGCATTGTTTGAGCAGTTATTACATCTGGAAGTTCTCCTAGTTCTTTCTTCTATTTTTTTCCAGCCGGATGGTTCCAACGTAGGAAGCAGATCATTAGTAGTTTTTGTAACCGATTTATATAACTGTTCTGCACCCTCTAAAAATTCAAACCGAGATTCCAGACGATCTGGTTGTTGTTGTTTGATAGATTCGCGGACTGTAAGATATTTCTTAGTTGCCTCTAGTAGCTGTCAAGCTAGCTTATATGTGTGAAATTCTATTATTGATATAATAATGATTCAATTACATCAGACTAGAACAGTAGGGAAGGGCGACGAAACAAATTGAATGTCAGACTGAAAACAAACTCACATAATAAACGCAAACACAAATGTCAAAGACACAATAATATATGAGCTTACAAAATTAGAGAATTCTAGGTCAGAAAGAAGCTAAATATATTACGGAAGCTGCTGGTAAACTGTCTCATAAGCCTTTATTAATCGAACCGAGACTCACAAGGACCGAGTGTGAGTGATCAATAGAGGAGAGCTGAGTTATTATTTATCTTTTGCTTCCTTCGTATAGTTTTTAGCAATTTTATTTTAATGGGACTAAAAATAAAAACATGTCTTAACTAGTCTTAATACTAGCTAACATAACGCGGAGAAATGACACTTATTCTAACATAGTAATGACAATAAATTATAGATACTCTTCTATATCGATAATGTTAGAAACGCTGTCCATAACATATGAATAAGGATCAGAGATATCATAAAATGGTATCTGATACGCATAACAGTGCAGCGGTTTAAACGGATTACACTGGAAATAATGATTATTCAGAGCAAAGGAATCTATATCCATCAGGGTGTATGAAATATCAGCCAGTAAAATTTTTTGTTATATCATCTATTGCTGCGACAAGACCATGGGCGTGATGTTTCGCGGAATGAGTTGTTTTTGTTTTACACAAGCGCATTTAAAATGATGAATATAATCGTCTATTAGTTAAGTAAATATACGGTACAAAATTGACATTTTTCAATTGATCTGACTTAATTTTGCTACCTCATGATGACATAAATAACTCTAAAGACGCTATAACAGTGCCATATTTCGAAAATTAAAGTTCTAAATAACTACAAAATTCCGATAAAGTGCATAACATGATAAAGAACGCTTTATACAGTTATTGACTGTGAAGTGTGGTACAATTCTTTGTTCTTAAAGCATGCAACAAAAATGCAAAGCCATTAAGTTTCATCAAATTCAAGAAATAATTTAAGATTTGTGTTTGTGTTTGAGTGTAAGTGATATGGATTTTAAACTTAACTTCAACAGTTTTTTTTCAGTCATACCGCTACGATTTTATCATGACGCAAACATGTAGCATCATGTCCCACCCAGTCACATTATACTTACACTAGGCCGACCAGTTCGAACACATCCCACTTAATGCTGAGTGCCAAGCAAGGCGGCTGTTAGTACCATTATTGTAAGTCTCTGGTATGACTCATCCAAGGTTCGAACCCACAGCCTCCCGCATCCGAAGCAGACGCACTAACCACTAGGCTACCAGAGCGGTCAGCCAGATATGCAGAGGTATTTAAGAAAAACTTATATGAATTAAATGCGTAATAATCCTAAAAGTTCGATTGCAAGTCTAAAAGTATAGAACATCTACAATGAATTCCACTTCTTTACTGTGATGATGGACCATTGGTCTTGAATGTGCCGTCGTATCAATAGTCTTGATATAAAAGAAAAATATAATAAAAAATGTCGTTGAATGAATATACAAGATTTCCAAGTTAGTGTTTTAATTCAAAAGTCAATAAGCACCTTACAACTCCAACGAATAAAACATTAAATAAATAATTTTTTTTTTAAATATATCTAAGCAAAACTAATTGCAAGCAATTCCACTAGACACATGCTAAGAAAGAGATAAATTAGTTTTGCATAAACAACCTCATATAACCAAAATCTAAGACACAGAAATATGACCAATATGTAGATCATGTTCTTAACCAAGTTTTCTTTCTTGCCCATTTTAATAATTTTAAATAAGTAATGGGTCTTCATCAGTAAGATTGAAAGGAACGATGCAAGTTGACTCTCAGACAAAATAATGCAATGGAAATGCCTAGGCCACTGGTCTTGGCATATAAACTCTAAGCAAATAAATAGATTTTACTATATGCGTGAAAGATGGTATAAAGGATGCATACCTCCTCTTCAGAAAAGCCACAACTGAGACTGTGACCCTGATATGCCGGTGTACATGGTAACAACTAATAAATTGTATTGCCACCTTAAAGCTATACTCAGTCCGCTCTTTGGTGAGAACGGCGCATCGTTCATGAGCATAATGGCAATTAAATCATTAGGCCTACTCATACACTCACATCTAAATATTCCGCACATGCTCATTCTAAAATAAAGGCTATAACAACAACACTGATATCAATAGTTCTGATAAATACACGCATATCCCTAAATCTTGAAATAGTACAATATCAACATGAACAACATTCCAACGCATTTCCTACCTTACAAGTTATAAAATATACATACGAATCTGAAATGCCTAATTTTACGTGTTCAATGCCAACAATACTAATTCTACACAAATCACAATTATATTCAAAATACAAAACAAGTGCAAATTCTAACACTACTCACTATTAAATTCAGTTAAGCAACCGATGCCACATACTAACGGATTACAACATCCATTTCAATTTTATCCTAACAACTACATACTTTAATCTTGAATATCTTGCGATACACAATATTACACTGTGTTGATAATTCAGCTATAAATAGAAGATTAAATTTCTACTAAATAATGCACATAATAATTTATAAATCTTACGACACCTAAATAGGAAAGTGAGACAGATTCGGACGAAGATATTTTCCCCAGAACCCCAAATATCGTCCGCAGTTCCTTTAACTCCCTTTCCCGATCTTTTATAAGTAAATAGCTTGCTCTCGGAGTGCATTCTAGTGTCTGCCAATTCTTTCCACGTCCAAACATGCATTAATTCGATCACAATGAACTTAACAAACAATGTCTGGCTGCGAGAGAAACCAGCCCCTAAAATTTTCTCTGATAGCTGTCTGGAGTAGTAGTACTGATGTGTTACCATGTCGGGTTTCCTGGTCTTTAAGCCTTAGCCGACCGATGGCATCACTGCTGATTGCAAACAGAGTTTCTCACCAACGTGGCAAGAGTCTCTTCGAAGTAACCGCAAAAGTTGACCGTAACACAATGGCTAAGTCACAGACATGTAATTTCTTTGCATCAGAATCAGTCTAAAATCGTTAATATTGTATATCACGTTTTGAAATTAAGCATAGTACTTTGAATTACGAATTCTATCAGAGGACTTTATAAAACATGAAGAAGGAATAATTGTTAACAAATTTCTCACAGAACGTGCCACGGATCATAACCAACATTTCATCCATATTGCAAAATCAAGTGTATCATTAAAAACAAAATCTTCAAAATTTCCGCATTAAAATCAACAGTAAGTAAAAGAATTTCGATACTGACTTTTGATTTTAGAGAATCATTGCTTAATAAAACAATCACATATTCATTGATATTAGAATTTATTACATAATATTCAGGGGTGATATGCCTAAACAGTTAAAAACTATGAGTGCATCTTTATCAAGATGCAAAGGTGATGACTTAAACAGTAAAAGTACAAAATCATCGATGGTATTAAATACTCTTTATACAAAATAGTCCAATACGATAGATTAATATACACAAAATGATTACTCTTCACCTATTCTTAACTTTACCCATTATTTTACAAGCACAGCTATTATGATCATGATTTTGTTAAATGATTGTCAGATTCCCATGAGGATTTTTTTCTAAGTGTTATATGAAACAATAATGTCAAAGTTCTTGCAGTAAGATTCACGTGGATTACACTTTTCTATACAATAAAGAAAAAGGAACTAAGGTGTTTATACTTTTAAACCCAAGCCCGTATATTCCGCAACAGAATGCCTAGCACAATATATGTATGATAGAAAGTAGCATCGACTTGCTTCCTACGTGGTTAGTGGAATTCCTAATATTTTAACGGGAAAATTCTGAAATTCCCATCAGTTGTATTTCCTCAAATATCATATCGTGCATCATCATATCGCGTACTACCCATGAATTGTTTGTGCATTAGAACTCGTGGTCTTCAATTTATGCTTAGAGTGCAGCGTCTGCTGACTGCCCCTGCCATAAATATTGTCCAATGATAAGCTTATCAAACTTGATGAAAGCAAAATCACCCTTTGATCCAAATCGAGTAATACAGTGCTTTCATTTTGTCCCTGAAATGCACCGATTCCATGAAGATACCATTACACTTAATAATGGTTTCATCAGTACGTGGTCTTTGTCCTAGGACTTTACGGTGATTGGGCTGGTAAAACCTGTTTTGCTATCTCTCGCGCGGTTATTACCGAGTATGTGCGGTCTCTCTATCTCAAAGTGGGACGGCTGTAATGGAAAGTGTCTCTAAGAAAACATATACGACTTTTGCATTTGGAAATATCCTACTTCCGCGCCTGATACCCTCAATTCTATTGCTTCTCCGTGACTAAATTGCTGAATCTATTTTCGAGATTTTCAATCTTGCCAGACAAGTTTTTAGTCTGTTCCCCAATATTATTAGATAGTACATCATTTTCTACACGTTCTGCTATTTACATTCTTTATGTATATCTTTCAAGGATTGTCCAGTTAAATCATGTATATGTGTATTAGGGGATGAACAGGTCACACTGACTTGTCCAGATTTGCTAACACGAAAAGTAGATTGAATCATTGAAGCCTTGAATTCCCGTTTTAAGGTGCTGGGTTGACTTCCGCTGACCCGGAAACAATAAGCAAAACACTATGAGCCGACATTGCTAAAAGTTAGACTTAACATTTTACTGAACAGAGAGACTCGGAATTCTTACTTTTACCTTTTCTAGTGTAGCACAGACGTGCCAATTCAAGTTTTCCAGAGTTTGGTACCTATACCTTGTTGAATAGTTTCCACAACTGACATAAACATGTTAAACACTCGTATTAATCTGGTGGCGTTCATTTTCTATTGATTTGAAAGTTGATATATGTTGTGCGTTGACCAGTCGAAGTTAAATTCTTTTTCAAATCACCCCAAACGCATTTAATGTCACTGTATAATTGTCACGAAGTACATTACTAATTTCAGTGATTCATTGTTATTTAGAATAACTTGCTTGTGACCTCTGCAATTTGTTCTTTCCTTTAAAATCGTCAGGAATAGACCACACTTCTCACATCTAAAGCTGAAATGTAAGACACTTTTTCAGAATTACTTTTTGAACTCAGTTTGCATAGTATCAATGCATCCTTTAAACTCATCATGGACAAATTAAAAAATGAGAGCAGTCAAAGTTGCATTCTTTACTATATTTTCTTGCGTCGATAATGATCAAAAAGTGAAAATTCATCACTAACTTAAAGAGTATAAAGCGATAACCTATTGTTGAAACATAACTTATTGCTTCAACAATACATAACGTTCAAGTAGTTAGTCGAACCCGGTGTTTGTAGAGCCCCACTTTCTTCCTTTAAACCATTGTTCATGATTATAAATGAGAATAAAGGTACAAACATTAAGGAAACAACTTATCAAGATTGTAATTAGCCGCAATAGGTAACGAACTACAGATTGTTGCAGATACATCTGGCTGGGATTTGCAGAGTTAATACGTTCCGTCAATATACATCTGCTTGTAGTAAATCTACCTTGTTTCGATATGAAAGGATGTGTATTTGTATGTGATATTAATAAAACATATATAGAGTATGCACGCTTTATCTTTGATATATATTTTATATCATTGATAAAAATTTCTCACTCAAAATAAACTCGGCATACCTTGTTTTCTAAATGAAACATATATCGCGTGTTTTTCTTTTTTTTAAAAGAATTTTATCACAAATGAAAACAAAATGATTTGATACCAGTTCTAACATCTTAAATTAGCCCTCTTTCAAGATGACACAAATATTTATAGGTTACTGCATTTGTATGAGAAATATGAACGAGTTTTTCAGATGGCTATACTGTACAACCTTGGGAGCGCAGTATATCCATCCAAGAGAAAAAAACCGAGTTGATATTTTCCATTCAAATACAGTAACCTTTTTATTAATTGCTAATTTTTGTTTCATTACCAAAGACTTAATAATAAAATTCACAATCAAATATATTTAATAATGAAATTTGTTGTTTTATTATTAAAATAATAAAGTTCACATTCATAGATTCCTTCAATGCACAATAATATTACTTATGCGTATATAACTCCTCCCACAGACATTTTAACTTGATAGAGTACCGCGCGCTCACGTGCATCAAGCGCGAAGAGTGCAATATGTAGGTGTAAAATGTCTGGGAATATTAAACGATTCTGACAATGTAAAGTTAATGGAGAAAACAAATGAACATATAATAATGCAACATACTCAACATGACAACATGATAATAAAATTATTGGAGAGAGAGAAAATGAGAAAAT